TTCAAGGCTGAAAACAAAGGAATAAAACCTTGAGAGCAAAATGAGGAGTGAGACGGAATGCAAATGCTTTGATGATCAAGGGCATCACTTGTCAAAAGAAGGCCATAAAAACAGATATTATGCACCTCCGTTCCTCATTTATCTCTTTAGTGATCTGTCTCTTCTCTTTTCAAAGGCTCCATTTTATTCTCCCCTCCATAACTGTTTCTAAAAGTCTGTTTCTCAGCTGTTGAATTTCCTTAATGGTTGCACATAAAACTCGAAAGCAGAAGAGCAGAAGCTCCCTAAGTGTTCATTAACGCCTCGTTAGCATTGAAAATGAACACAACAAAATGGGAATGACTAAAACATGGGTGGCAGAACCCAAACTAATGAGGTAAAACTATTATTCCTTGTATTTTTACTGAGTCATTTAAAAATTATTTTGTTAATTTTTACTTCGTATGACAGAAAAATGTACATATTTTACCAAGATGCATTTGAAAATCTAATTAAGCCTATTTCTGGCTGTCTCACGAAAAAATATTTTAAAACGGCCTTAACATTTTCCTAACTTTTTTTTTACTTCTCCAACACCAATGTCAGTCTTTTGATTGGTTTAAAAGGGCCACCTTTATTATTCTTGAGTATCTTTGTGCTCTCTTAGAGCAGTAGGGGTCTGTGCTGTTGAATGACCAGCACCTGTCCTTGGCCAAGGTGGGTAGTTTATTCTAATAAGGAATGCTTCTCTTTCCACCAAGGAGAAAATGTAGCACTGCGACAGTTAAGCCATGGTCCTCTCTGTCATTATTTACACAAATCCTGTAAATCGCTGAACAATTTTTATTTTTGTGTCTTAATCAGAATAAGTGTTTGCTAAATAAAATAAAATAAAAATATTAATTAATATTATAATGGGCAGCACGGTGGCACAACTGGTAGAGCTGCTGCCTCTCAGAGAGCAGGTCCCTGGTTCAAACCCCGGTCCAGGGGCCTTTCTGGGTGGAGTTTGCATGTTCTCTCCGTGCATGCGTGGGTTTTCTCCGGGTACTCCGGTTTCCTCCCACAGACCAAAAACATGCATGTTAGGCTGATTGGTAACTCTAAATTGCCCCTAGGTGTGAGTGAGAGAGTGAATGGTTGTTTGTCTTGTTTGTCTCTATGTGGCCCTGTGATGGACTTGCGACCCGTCCAGGGTGTACCTCGCCCTTCGCACAGTGATTGCTGGACATGGGCACCAGCGACCCCCGTGACCCAAAATGGAATAAACGGGTAAAGAAAATGGATGGATGGATGGATTAATATTATAATATTGTAAGATGTTAAACTCAGAGTATGCTTGTAATGATTTTCCTCTACTACATCAAATTTTAGCTCAATATCTGTAAAACTGACTACTAGCTAGTGTGGCTAATGCTGATTAGCTGTTTTGACCGTCTTGAATTGGGTTGACTCCAAAAGTCAATCAGTTTAGATCTATCCATTCATTTATTGTATTTTACCCACTTCTTTTCTGGTCATGGGGGGGTCACTGGTGCCCATATCCAGCAGTCAGTGTGAGAGGCAGCGGACACCCATATAGAGACAAATGAGACAAACGACCATTCATTCTCTCACTCACCCCTAGGGATAATTTGGAGTTACCAGTCAGCCTAACATGCATGTTTTTGGTTTGTGGGAGAAAATCAGAGTACCCAGAGAAAATCCATGCATGCACAGAGAAAACATGCAAGCTCCACCGTGCTGTGACCTGAAAAGGAAGAGGCAGGTAAAAGAAGCTTTGGCTGGCTGGGGTTTGAAAGGACAGGAAGGAGAAATCAATAAACAGACTGACAGGTCCAGGTGTGGGACGGAGATTTATCTTCCAACAAGACAATGATCCAAAACATAAAGCCAAATCTACAATGGAATGGTTCACAAATAAACGTATCCAGGTGTTGGAATGGCCAAGTCAAAGTCCAGACCTGAATCCAATCGAGAATCTGTGGAAAGAGCTGAAGACTGCTGTTCACAAACGCTCTCCATCCAGCCTCACTGAGCTCGAGCTGTTTTGCAGGAAAGAATGGGCAAGAATTTCAGTCTCTCCATGTTCAAAACTGATAGAGACATACCCCAAGAGACTTGCAGCTGGAACTGCAGCAAAAGGCGGTGCTACAAAGTATTAACGCAAGGGGGCCGAGTAATATTGCACGCCCCACTTTTCAGTTTTTTATTTGTTAAAAAAAGTTTGACACATCCAATAAATTTCATTCCACTTCACGATTGTGTCCCACTTGTTGATTCTTCACAAAACATTAAAATTTTATATCTTTATGTTTGAAGCCTGAACTGTAGCAAAAGGTTGAAAAGTTCAAGGGGGCCGAATACTTTCGCAAGGCACTGTATCTTCTTCCAATGCTTGGGAGTCTCAAAAATATGTTCAGTGCTTTAGAATATATTTTTCTAACAATACAAGCAAGTGAACAGACACAGACTTGAGCAAAAACCTTATCGCTTCTTCACATTTGTCGACAAGTGATAATGAAACATTATTTGATTTTTATGACCACATAAGATTAAGTATTTGTTAAGGACAATAAAATAAAAATTTATATTTTTATAGCATACAAAAAGACTTGTAATGTGATTTTTAAAATATCCTAATTGGAAAATAATGAAAAATATTGTAATGGAAAGGATAAAAAGCTGAAATTTTCTTTATATATATATATATATATATATATATATATATATATATATATAATTCTACATTTGGTTCTTGGGGCACATTGTGCAGAAAACTATTTTAGTTTATACCTGCATGGGCTTCCTTTCTTTTTTTGTACTTTATTACAGTGTAACAGTAGAACATGCTTTTACTTTCCAATGTTTTTTTACCTTTTTTGCCCCAAAACAGCAAAGAAAGTGTGTCCTCCTCCTCAACACACTCTGAAGTTTTATCTTACCAATAAACTATTGTTTTCTTACTTCTTTGTGAATTTCTTGATACGTGCATCATCCTACTAAAATCCATACATATCAACAAACAGGCCAGTTATGTTCCTCAATCATATTTTTCAACATGCAAAACGCCACCTTGAATAATTTTGTAAAACCGTGATAAGCTGTACAAAGAATGTTTAATATTATTTTTTATGTGCAGTTTTTGTCAGCAGATGAAAGTGTTAGCTATTCAACAAACCTGTGTCCCTGCGTGCACCTGCTTTATCACCATGTTCCTCATGCTCTCTTTTAAATGGCTCCTTGAGGCATTTGCTCCTGATTAAAGACCTATTCGTTCTCCACACAACTCTTTCCTCTTGCCTGTCAGCAGTGTTTCATTAGAACACACTTGGCTGTTCATAGCCAGCACATGTTTTCCCTTTACTTTTGACTCTCAGCAGCAGCAGGGTGAGATCCTTGAAGTCCTTTTTAAGAAAATTGGGCTTGACAGCAACAGTGGTTAGTCTGGCTTTTGTGTTTTCTTTGTTGTCCGTGTGCCTTTGATTCTGCAATGGAAAAAAGGAAAAGCAAAGGCATATTAAAAGTGTCTGTTTTCTATTTCTCCACCTTGCCCCCCCCCCCCCCCCCCCCCCATCAAACTTTTCTTTACTTGCTATGGTAGCCCACCTTACTTTTTCACCCATAACCATTTGTAATGTTCTCTCCCTTTTCAGGCAGTACTATGAGATGCTGTACAACACTGCAGATGAGCTGCTGAACCTGGTGGTGGACCAGGGTGTTCGCTACACTGAGCTGGAGTACATCAACGCCCTGTCATTACTCCATCGCAGTCAGACAGGTGTCGGGGACCTGAGCACCCAGAACATCCGACTCCAGAGGCTGAAGGAGATCATCTGCGAGCAGGCCGCCATCAAACAGGCCACCAAGGACAAAAAGATCACAACAGTGTAGTGATCAGAAGCCAGAATAAATAAGTGTATATTTGCAAGAGTGAAGATGGAGAACAACTTTCTGAATGGGGAATAATAACAGACACATTTAAAACATCAGTTTTTGAAAAGTGTATGCCTTTTTTTGCCTGATGTGATGAAAGGCAGTAGTTGAGATCTGATTTAGCAATAACATTCTTCCCCTTTGAATATGGAGATTATATAAGAGCCTGTGCTGCACTGACTCATTCTAATTGGGAGATGAGGTGACAACCAACACAACTGCAAACTTTGCAAGTCTAGTTTCTATATCAGGTAACTTCTATTGTCAGTTTCCACTTTTCAAAAAGACATAACAAATGTGCCCTGCATGCCAGAACTCTAACAATCCTCAGCTCTCCTTAACAACGGCTCCAGTTAAAAAGGGAACGTCTAGGACAGTCACCTGAACTTGGGCCCCATCTCATCTCATTTTCCTATTATATCCAAACTGCTGCTCTCAATTACACCTCTATCTCTCCTCTTCTGCCAACCCCCATGGGCTCGCTGATTCTGTCTGCAATAACAGATGCCAGATTAGACTGTCTGAATGAGGCCACATCTTCCGCCTGCTGCCAATTTAGGCTGGTCCCAAAAGATTTCTCTTACTGAGACTAGTATTATATCTGTAGTTGCTAAAAATCTGTTTATCGGACTGCTTTTCTGAAAGTTTGTGTAGAAAACTTGGTGGCTGACATTGAGTTAATGGATTTATATTTATTAATTGGTCTAAGAAGTCGATAATAAAGATGTCTTGCTGACATTATTTGGATTCTTTATTAAATTGTTACATTTTAAGTTCAGCATATCAGTTTCCAAATTTGTCTCAAGAATTGGATGTTGCATCACAATACATTCATTGTTCTAACTTTCTACAGTGAAACAATGCAATTCCTATTGTGTTCAAGCCTTTTAAAGTGAACCCCTAACGTACCAAGACAAGAGGAGATCACAAATAACTCCCTCCCCTGCAGCCCTCCCTGTTTTTCGTTCATTAACTCCGCAGAGAAGTATTTAACGAGTGGAGGAGAGAGAAATGGGAGCCTGTCAATACAGCAGGCCCAGCACAGGTCTCCTTGAAGCCCACAGAGCAATCCATCATAATGACACATCGGCTGAAATCGATGGGAAAACAACAGTGGAGCTGCTCAATGGTTCGCCGCCTTCTCTAAAACGCGCACTTGGTGTAAAATCTAAAATGTGCCCATTCATCTCTTCACTTTGAAACTAGTTTTGCTAGCTTATAAATGGGGAAACTTTAAAATAATGTTAACCAACTGTGTCATTCAATTCTTTTTTTGTCACACTGCAAAAACATGGCACATGTATGTGTTGTACATTTAAGTCAGAACCATTTCTTCCGTTCATGCTTTTATTCATAAATTAAACAGGAAAAAATAATGTATTGGATTTATTTTTACTTTTTTCTCTTTTCTGCACCTTTGCGCATCTGTTTGAAAATGTTACTCATGTTTCACAAATTAAATATTCAGCTCTACTACACAAACATTTTTGGTTTGAACAAGTTTAAACTCATCAGATTTTTTTTTTTTTCTAGTTCTTTTAAAACACTGAAATTTCTAATTTTGGCGCACGTTATTTCTCAATGTTCACCTTAATAAAGATATAAAAAAAGCATTCCTAAATCCTGTCATCTTTTAGTGTATTTAACACTGTTTGCTTGCATAGTTCTCATTGTTTCCAGTTGCTGGTGAGTGTTCAAACACATGAACTGTTCACCACACATAGCTGCCGACTGCTGTTTTCGTGCAGCCAAGTTGTTTCTTTTCTGTTTCACAGGAGCCAGTCAGATCTAAAATCAACACTAGAGAATGTTCTTAACCTGACAGGTGTGATGTGCTGTGTGACAAGGCTTTAGGCATGAAGTTCTTAAGTGAGGTATGTGGCGAAAATAAACACTGACATTATACCACCTGAAAAACTGCTGATGTTGGCATAAATCCATTCAATGAGCTCATCAAGGTTCAGCATGGTGTTTATAAAGCTGGTCTTGTAAATTTTTATGAGTTTTGCAGTCTAAATGCAACAAAGTGGTAACCTTTCATGTAAGATGGGTTATTATAGCATCTTTATCCTAACTTTCCTTCTGTTGGTATAATACATAAGCAGTGTCCCATTTTGACATAATTCTTAAACATTGTTTCATAAGGAAGTCCATTTCCACCACTCTGAAGAAATATGTGTCCTTCAAGTCATAGTTGGGAAATACAATCTCTAAATTATGACATAGCATCTCATAAATATGAATTGACATCACAAATTATAACCAATACGAACTCATCATTATAACTTGGCATGTAACAATAGGCTTGCATAGCAAAATTATGGCTTATACTAACTCATAGTTTTAACTTGGCCTCTCAGACTCATGACTTAGCATCTCAGAACCAGCATCTAATAATTTTAAACAATTATACGTTAAGTCATAATTGAAACACTATTGTATAGTAGCTTATAATTATAGCATCTCATAATTTTGAAATGGTATGAGGTACTAAGTTGTAAATTGATATAGTACCACATGATTATGACTTAGAGATTTATTTTAACTAAATAATCAAAAAAATAGTTTTGTCTTTTAGCTTAAATTTTAGGGGAATTAAAAAAAAGTTGTGATCAAGCCTGAGTAAAAAAAAAACTACAGCTCCCACAATGCTATTCAGCCGAAACTCTGTTGCCTAGCGACGAGAGTTTTAGCCCAAATAGCACACTTTATGCTAGTCACTTAACAAAACTTCGCACCTTGTTTACGTATCAGCTAATTAGTGAATTCGACAATTTTCCCCTTAAACCGAACTAATAAATTAAATAATAAATAAGAAGTTGCTTGTTTTTGTCACCCAGCGCCAGGACGACAATAATGAACGAGTTCTCAGCAGCAAAAGGGACAAGGTGCGGAGAGCTACAGGAAAATGGAACAACTGAGGTACAGATTTCTTAATACAAACATGAAAAACACAAATTATTCGAGCTCTTGAAGTTTTGTGACACCAAGGTGGTCTAATATGTGCTACATTAAGCATGTGTATACAAATAAAAAACGATTTACTTGTCCATATTATTATTATTTTTTCAGTTAAACCCTCGTATTTTTTTATTCAACCTTTATTTAGAAGGTCTAGATAATTAAAACTGAAAAAATAAGATTAAATGATTGATTTATGCTTTACAAATTAATTGGATTACTCGTTAGTTTGAATGTGAAGCGTCTTGTTGAAGTAGAATAATGTTTACATGTGCACAATACGTTCAGCAGTATAATCTCGTTTAAACCTACTTCTGTAATATATATTAAGCGCAATGTTCTTGTATTAAAATGTTATTTATGTCACAGAAGGGTGGTGTTTTAACTTCTGAGATGGTGTCCAGCTGTTTATCCCAACCTGGATGTTTCTGCATCAAGCTGCATCACATTTACCACCTTTCTCTACCTGTGAGATTGTGCACCTGCACAGATATTTTTTTATGTTTTAAACTCAAACCTACTTACTGTTTGTTGGTTTAACAGAGACAAATGAGTTAGATACAATCTTGGTATTAAATAGCTTGGTTTGCAGATGCTTTCTTTAAGGATAGTTTTAACCATTTTGGTATTTTCCCCTGTTCAAGAGTGACGATCTGAGTGATATATCCGTGTTCTGCAGTTATATTCAGCTGCAAAAGTTGGAGTTGCCACACAACAAAATCAAAGGTAACTTCATTTTTATTGTTCTGACTCATAGCAATAATATGCATTAGACTGTCACTTTACTTAATGTGTTGAATGATTTAAATAATTCTTTTAACATTTGCTAGATTTATCCAGCTTAAGCCACATGCCCAACCTTGTCGTCCTGGATGTTTCTCACAATGAAGTCTGCGACTACTTTGAATTCCAGCCTCTCCAGTACCTACAGGTAGCACAGGACCTTGAGCTGACAGGATAAGACAATATTTGATTGGTAGCTTGGGCCCCACTCTCTTATTCCCTCAAGATAGGGCTGGATTTCCATAGCCCATCTGTAGTCACTCTGAATATGCTTACACGGCCTTTACAGTCCTTGAATGACAGTGAACTTTAACGAAAATCTTCCACAAACTCTGTGGTCTCAGCTCAGATTTAATTAAAGTTTTCATTCACTAATGTATGCTTTAGGTTTTTGAGACTTTTGGTATTAAGGTGTGTTTTTTATTTTTTATTTTCCAGGAGGTCAATTTCTCCCACAACCATATGACAAAAATGAAAGATTTGTCAGCCTATGTATCCCTCCGTAAGCTGTATCTAGACCGTATCCTTTCTAATGCATGTTTATGTGACATTATTTTATCTGGTTTTATCTACTGGTAATAGTGCCCAGAGCACTGGGTATACATGTAATTTCTTAGTCTGTTTTAACAGCTTGTCGCTGTGTATCAAGAAAACATGACGTGCAATTATTTATCAAAAAACCTATAGCATTGCTTTTTGCTAAGTGTTCAGAGTCATGAAAACAAGTGCATGCTCACCAAATTTGTGTTTTTCTTAACAAGTTCATGCTTAGATAACAGCTTCTGTGAGATCAGTGGTCTTGAGTGGTGTTGCAGACTCACCCATCTTAGTTTGGCACATAATAAAATTACAAGGATCAGCGGCCTGGACAGTCTGCCTCTCACATACCTTTGCCTTGTAAGTTTGTTGGTTATTATATTCAGAAAATACAAAAAAAAAAAAAAATATGCAGTTTTATAAGTCTGTATCTTTTTGACAAGCTCTTATTTTCAAACTTAAATTTCAAATAGAAGTCTTTTTGTCTTTCTCTGCTGGTGGAGGTATTTCTGTGTATTGCTGTGTTCATAAAGTTTGTTTACCTGTGTGTATTGTACATGTCACATAAACGTGTGAATATTTATTTAGGTTTGCTCAGTTTTACCAGTTTTCACTTGTTTTTTTTCTTGTATCTTTATGATTTTTGTTTATGGGTACATTTTTATATTTAATGAAACCTTGGCCCCTTGTTCAAAAATTGCCATATGGTCCAACAGCAGGTCTTTTTTTTTTTCTTATTCTTGGTCTTTCTGCTCACATGTGTTTTCTTGTCCTTTATCAGTCTTTCCTCATTGTCAGCAGCTATCAGTCTTTCTACATCTGCTTGTCTTTAGCTTTGCTTCAGGACCAGCTGCTGGTGTTTGACTGAACCTGGATCAAATTCAGCATGCATGCCCTGTCCATCCAACATTCGTCTAACCCTATTCCTGACCCCTCTTTCTCACATTCAACAGCACGGCATTGTCAGGCAGCACACCACAGCAATGACCTGGTGCTTCCAGGGACCAGCATGGTCACACACCCCTGCTGACAGCAACCCTCTGCCTGGCAGCATGCTTGGCAGGAGTAGTGCAAGGTGTGGCCAAACAGCTAGATAACAACTTTTGTCAGTGGATTGGAGAGAGAATCAGACTGACAAGAAGGGAGCACCCAGGTCTTGTTCTTCTGTTCATTAGCGTGCTGTGCTAGCACCTCACCAGCTGTTTAGCTGTCAGTTCTTGCCTGTCAGGACTTTGCAGAGATGCGAGCTTGCCACTCAGCTGGGCAGCAGAGTTTAGGCAACCTATAGAACAATCATAGAACATTTCAAATGTTTATCTTTGTGGTGGGAAGACTTACTTAAGCACATATTTGCATAATTAGCATATGCTAGGCCTGTGTAATGTTTTTTTTTTTTCTTCCTGTCTGTGTTTAGAAAGGGAACCATATTGAAAGAACTGAAGGATTGGAGACTTTGAAGAGCCTGCAGGTTCTTGATTTGTCTTTGAATCGTACCACAAATCTTTCAGGCCTGCAAAACCTCCATCTTCTAGGCTCCATCAACTTGGAGAAGAATCAGGTATTGATTGAAAAGATTACAGAAAGACCAAAATGAACTATTTAGATGTAATGATTATAGTCATTTTATTTCATTAAAGGTAAGTTTGAATTTTTAAGATTATAATTCAACCAAAACAGCACATTTTTATCATGCAGTCTATTTGTTTTCTTTTTAATTATCATTTACTAAGTTACCTGAGGGCTGACTGAGATGTACAGTAACTTTAGTAAAAAATCTTTTTGTAATATTTGCAGTTTCCATGAGCATTTTTGGGTCAACTTAATGGCACGCCCACTCCTGGGAGGACTGCACATGCAAATTATTCTCCTCATTGTTAAATGATGGCCTCTAAATAACTTGGAAATGTTCCTGAGCCCATAGTAGGCAGTAAAATTGCTTATTAAATACCCATTTATATATATATATAATTTTTTTTTTTTTTTTGCCTTGTGTCTGGCCACACCTGAAAGTTCTAATGTATTTGATTTTACCACCTGATAATGCTTAGATTTGCCCTATTATGTAAAGTGAGGATGTGAAGATGTGGAAAAGGCTGTACAAATTACATGGTTTTCAAATTTGATTGTGATTTTTTTCCCTAATTTAAATAAATCTGTTGATGTGGTAATACATGTTGTGTAACATATGTATTGCATTGTGAGCATTTAGCCATTTTGACTGTTAACATGTCAGTAAGATTCAATTCTGTCCCAAGATACAACGCAGTTTTATTATATATAATGAGATTAGTCAACAAAAGCAATGTTTGTGTGTGTTTTTGTTTCAGATTTCTGAAATTCAAGAGTTCAAGTACATTCAAAATCTTTTACTGCTGAGAGACCTCAATCTGCAGGAAAACCCTGTGCAGGTAGCCATAATCTTTACTGACAACAACTCTAAACCATGAGAGTATATGAAATATGCTGTTTGTTGTGTTCTGTCTTATGTCACATGTCCTAACTGTAAATGGTAGGAGGAGCCTGACTACAGGCTGTCACTTATCTTCTGCCTTCAACACCTGGCAGTCCTGGACCGAGTGACAGTCAGTGCTGAAGAAAAGGTGAGAATAGTTTAT